CACCGAGAAAATTGATCCATCGTCTAACGCCACCAAAATATGATCAGTTGATATGGAGCACAACGCTGAAACAACCGCAAAATAAGTGCTGCCGAATGGAACAGTTGTTGTTCGCTGCTTGCGAGCATTTACCGTGCATTTGTGGAAATACTCGTAAAATGAAGCCATCTGGCAAAATTTTTGCAAAATGCAGAAATATGGAACATGGACTAGAAATCTATAGCTCTGCAATAGCAGCAACGATGAGCACTGTACCTGTAATGGTTCTTCCAGGACCGGGGTCGTAGGCGATTGTCTTTGGGTCGGTTAGGACCACATAATCGTCTACATCGTATAATTTCATAATTGCAGTTCCGTTCGTGAACACCAACTGAGGAGGACTCTCTAACGTCACTTCTGCAAGTGTCAAAACTCAGACGGTCCGAATTTACTGTACCATGAATTTGAATTGGCGTCTTACAAAACTGACATCAGCGAAACAAGGATGCTTGGCTCAATTAAGCAAAACTGACATGTTTGGATCAAACGGCCAGATTATTCTTCCTACAAAATCAACTCATTTCTTACAAGTGCCACAAATACAAACAGAGGAAGCAGTTCTGAATTTGATGAATCCACCATATTGTTCGTACTGGATGGACTCTTGAAAATTTGTAGTTATCCAGAATCGCTCCTTCTACAGAAGGCTTCAGCGACACTTTGAGTCCAGAGAAGCTACACCCAACCACTGCATCTTGTCAGGTTTCAAACACATCTCATGATTTATTATGATTCAATGGGTTTCGTATTTCACAGTTCCGAAACAAACCATTTGTATTTGCAAGTTCAAGTTTAACTGCGACATCGATGGACGGTTCAGTGAATGTTGCATAGCCAATATTAGCACGACAGCAGTTTTCTGTGGGAATGTTCGTGAACAAATAACATTGATTTGTAGTTTCATCACTGGAAATTTGTTTTCCGTCCAGCGAATACAACGATACTTTGTATAGACGTGGCAAGGGACTATTCCAGCAAATCACGTAGCTGTTCGACGAGATCTGCAGTTGTGCGATCAGCTTTGGAGCGTGTGGGCGACCACCGATCCCAATTATTGACTGACGTACGGTGCGTGATACGATCACATTGGAACGCCACGAAACGCATAAACGAACCTAAAAACAAGCAAATATCTGAAAATTTTCTGCCTCCGATTTGCAATCATTATTGGAGTGATCAATCTCACAATCAGACAACAGCATAGAATGGCCGCAATTTGCGGCTTCTCTAGCTATGTTCTCAGAAACTTGATTCGAGCACTGCTGAAGAAGTAAAAATTCCACAACAGAAAAAAAGCGAGACTTCGAACTCACTTCGATTTCATTGGCAAATTCACTTGGTATGACCGTTTTATACTGCCTTGTATCGTCCTTGAAGGCCTGAATTGAATTTCATCTAAACGATATGAAGAGAAAGATGGAAAGGCTTTAAGTGGAGAGGCCTTTACATGCTTCCGCATCCATCAAATGGTTTCTGGGAAGCAGACATTGTCAACAAATCGAGTTCATCGTTAGAACTATCGACTATTTCAAAATTACCGAACGAGATCAAAGACACCATCAAATCTTGTGATAGACACAACGAACCTTGTCTTCGAGCACCGTGACGTGCCACGGTGCCTCTGAACCAGACGATCTACTTTGGACAGCCCAACGGATGTGGTCAGCAGATATTTCAGCGACCATAGCGCCATAAGGGTCATCAAATTTCCATACTGTACTAATGCCTTGTGAATCCTCGCCGTCAATCGATAACGACACATGATAGAGGAGATCTTCAACAAATCATTTCCTCTATGGGAATCAATTTCTATTGGAGTCTATTGGAGCAAGTGAAAATTAACTTGCAATTGAGAAGTAGACCAGAACAATACATAACTGCGCTGAACAGAGCCTCTCAGCGTAATTCTTTA